GTTCCCAATCGATATCAACGCTGATGTCTTCGCTTAAGTACTCTTCGCGTGGGAACTGACTCTTGAGGCACGCGATGAACCGCTGGTTCTCCTCATCGGACCACTTGTCCAGACGTCGGTCGCGCCGGCGCTCCTCGATTTGGTCCAACTGTCGCAGCACTTCGTCCACTCGTGAGCCCATTGTCTGACACGTGCTCTTCGGGTGGTGCGAGCTATGGATCAAACAAATCACTCAAATGTCATAAAAAAGTGCGAAATTCAACGCAAACTGTGTTTACGTTTTGCACACTATTTGAGGGACTATTCACTCATTGAATACAAAACACATGACAAACGCTTTCAAACACAGCGCCAACCAATGGGTGGTAACCAATGGCAACACGCGTTAGGCTTTGGGTTTGGGTTTTATTTACCAAACAATCGCTCAGTTGTCACAAGAAGTTGAAGACACCGCGGATCACACCATCAGTTTGTCGCGCATTATAAGCCACTCCTAAGCCGAAGAGTCACTCGCGAGGACACCTCCGATGTCACGATCGGCGCGACTAGAAGTGGGACAACGGGTTGAGTACAACTCGGGCTCCAAGAAACTGTTGGGACGTCTGGCGTACGGACCAAATGGTTTCCAATCTAGTTTTCATATAATTGAAAAGATCACCCCGGTCACTGCAACCATGGGTGTTTTGTTGTCAATTATGTTTGGTATACTTCTAACTATTATTCCCATCACATTAGGAATACTTATGGATTCAAATGTTTTTTCACTCATTTATCTAAATATTATTTTACTATTTTTCTCATTTATAGTAATTCTACTCATATTTATATTAAACAGAAATTTTATAACCATTCACACGAATCAATCTAAACCTACATAAACTTCTTGATACAATTTATAAATGCTTTATTTTAATGTCAGCACTAATGTAAATTTATAAATTATAAGCATAAATCATTAATATAAATAATAAAATAATATTTATAATTAATATTAATAAATAAATACATAATATCAGTATTAATAAATTATTCACAATCTATATATATATCATTGGTAAACATAATATCTTGTCATTTGTGTTTATTTCATACAACTTTTAGGCTTAGTTTGATTTAATTTGACTCTAATTTATTACACTTGAATTAAAATATATAAATTATATAATATAATTATAAATTTATAAAATAATTAGCTTTCTCTTAAAAAACAATTAAATTTGTAAACTTAAATTTTATTTATTTTATATTTAATAAATTAGGTTAGATTTATTAGCAATAAATTTTTAAACTCGTTGTTTATTTCCATTTAACCATTGAGATGGACAGTACTGTACTATATTTGAGGTGTCAGTCCAGTGTGTTTTATTTAGTGAAAGATTGTGTGCATTTCTGTTAATCTTGTATATAATACATCTTTATTTTTCATTTAAATTACGGAACTCATCGTTATTTAGCATATTTAATATTACACAATTATTATTATTTTTGAACATTTTGTAATAAAATGTATTTTTAAAAATAATTAATTTTGAAATTTTAAATCATTTATGACAATTCGCATTTCCAATTTAACCAAATTATTTAATCTCTTATACATAATATTATATTTCTAAAATAAAAATCAACTACATTTAGATAATGGACACCGAGATTAATTCACAATTGATTTCAACTCGATATAGATACATGCTCACACTTTCTTTGTTTATCACTTATTTCATTTATGTATGTATTAAATCTTATTTCAATTAAACACTACTGTTTTAACAGCATAAATATGATTGAAGGATTTGGCAAATTATACTAGAGGACCCACACTTACAGATTTGGTTATAATATATAACTCAAGTCTGTCTATGGTTTCAGATACCGGTGCCGTTCAATACGCTTTCTTTGCCGTCTCCTCTTTATGTGAGAACTTTATTGACAATAAAATCCATATTTTGGAGATTTGTATTAAATACTAATTAAGATTAATTTTTTTATAGTTTTATTCGCTTCGGAGTACATTAACAAACAGATCGGTAAGTGTGTTTTATTTAGTGAAAGATTGTGTGCATTTCTGTTAATCTTGTATATAATACATCTTTATTTTTCATTTAAATTACGGAACTCATCGTTATTTAGCATATTTAATATTACACAATTATTATTGTTTTTGAACATTTTGTAATAAAATGTATTTTTAAAAATAATTAATTTTGAAATTTTAAATCATTTATGACAATTCGCATTTCCAATTTAACAAAATTATTTAATCTCTTATACATAATATTATATTTCTAAAATAAAAATCAACTACATTTAGATAATGGACACCGAGATTAATTCACAATTTATTTCAACTCGATATAGATACATGCTCACACTTTCTTTGTTTATCACTTATTTCATTTATGTATGTATTAAATCTTATTCCAATTAAACACTACTGTTTTAATAGCATAAATATGATTGATTGAAGGAATTGGCAAGTTATTCTAGAGGACCCACACTTACAGATTTGGTTATAATATATAACTCAAGTCTGTCTATGGTTTCAGACACCGGTGCCGTTCAAAACGCTTTCTATGCCTTCTCCTCTTTATGTGAGAACTTTATTGACAATAAAATCCATATTTTGGAGATTTGTATTAAATACTAATTAAGATTAATTTTTTTATAGTTTTATTCGCTTCGGAGTACATTAACAAACAGATCGGTTGTATGTGTTGTTTGGTAATTGTGGGAATCACTACTGCATTGAATGCAAGCGTCGGAAGAATTGGTAATTTGTTTGCAATCAGTGCCATCCGAGGGTTTGGTCAGGGATGGCTTGAAGTATTACTAAATGTGTGGATTGTCGAGATGTGGGGACAGGATTGTGGACCTTATATACAAGGAATTCATTTTATGGCAAGCATCTCAGCTATTACTGCACCCCTAATGGTCGCCCCGTATCTGAATAATGTGTTCAAACTTTATATCCCGTTCACAATCATTGGTGTATTGATATCAATCTGTGGATTATATTTGGGAAGTCTTTACTTTTATAAGAAATACACGCCAAGAGTTATTAATAAGGATAATAAGGAAAACCAGAGTGTAATTCAAATCTTGCTCATCAACTTTAAAACAGAATTAATGCCAACAAAACAGATATTTATGGCTATAATATTATGTTCATTACTCCTATCATTGACTTTAGGACTTTTAAACTCACAACAGAGTTATCTCTCGACTTTCGCTCAATCGTGTGGATTACATCTGACCGATACATACGCTGCTTATCTCACGACAGGTCTATCAGTGGCGCAGGCTATCAGTCGATTAATATCTATACCTTTATCTAAATATATAAGTCCTCAAATGATCATAATATGTGGACTCACATTGGTATTGATTTCTAATATTTTACTCTGGATATTTTCCAATTATTCGCTAACAGTGATGTGGGTGGCAAACATATTGTATGGGTTTGGGATTGGACCATTCTATGCTTCTTGTTATATGGACTCACATTGGTATTGATTTCTAATATTTTACTCTGGATATTTTCCAATTATTCGCTACCAGTGATGTGGGTGGCAAACATATTGTATGGGTTTGGGATTGGACCATTCTATGCTTCTTGTTATCATTTAATTGAACAGATCACCCCGGTCACTGCCACGATGGGCGTTTTTCTATCATTGATGATGGGTATCATTCAAGTCATAAATCCGTGTGTATTAGGAGTACTCATGGAATCCAATCCATTTTCACTCATTTATCTAAATCTTATTTTAGTATTTTTCTCATTTATAGTAATTCTACTCATATTTATATTAAACAGAAATTTTATAGCTATTCACACGAATCAATCTAACCCTACATAAACTTCTTGATATAATTTATAAATGCTATATTTTAATGTCAGCACTAATGTAAATTTATAAATTATAAGCATAAATCATTATTATAAATAATAACATAATATTTATAATTACCGTAATATTAATAAATCAATAATAATATCAATATCAATAAATAATTCACAAATCTATACATATCATTGGTAAACATAATATCTTAGATTGCAATTTATTTGTATTGTCATTTGTGTTTATTTAATACAACTATATTTGAGGTGTCAGTCCAGTGTGTTGTAGCGAAAGATTGTGTGCATTTCTGTTAATCTTTTATATAATACATCTTTATTTTTCATTTAAATTACGGAACTTGTCGTTATTCAACATATTTAATATTTCACAATTATTATTGTTTTTGAACATTTTATAATAAAAAATAGTTTTAAAAATAATTAATTTTGCAATTTTAAATCATTTATGACAATTCGCATTTCCAATTTAACCAAATTATTTAATCTCTTATACATAATATTATATTTCTGAAATAAAAATCAACTACATTTAGATAATGGACACCGAGATTAATTCACAATTTATTTCAACTCGATATAGATATATGCTCACACTTTTTTTGTTTATCACTTATTTCATTTATGTATGTATTAAATCTTATTTCAATTAAACACTACTGTTTTAACAGCATAAATATGATTGATTGAAGGAATTGGCAAATTATTCTAGAGGATCCACACTTACAGATTTGGTTATAATATATAACTCAAGTCTGTCTATGGTTTCAGATACCAGTGCCGTTCAATACGCTTTCTATACCTTCTCCTCGTTATGTGAGAACTTTATTGACAATAAGATTCATATTTTGGAGGTTTGTATTCAATATTAATTAAGATTAATTTTTTTAGTTTTATTCGCTTCGGAGTACATTAACAAACAGATCGGTAGTATGTGTTGTTTGGTAATCGTGGGAATCACTACTGCATTGAATGCAAGCGTCGGAAGAATTGGTAATTTGTTTGCAATCTGTGCCATCCGAGGGTTTAGTCAGGGATTGCTCGAAGTGCTACTCAATGTATGGATTGTCGAGATGTGGGAACAGGATTGTGGGCCTTATATACAAGCACTTCATTTCATGGCAAGCATCTCAGCTATTACTGCACCCCTTATGGTGGAGCCGTATTTGAATAATGTGTCCACACTTTACATCCCGTTCACAATCATTGGTGTATTGATATCAATAAATGGATTATATTTGGGAAGTCTGTACTTTTATAAGAAATACATTCCCAGAGTTGTCAATAAGGAAAATAAAGAAAACAAAAATGCAATTCAAATCTTAATTCGTAATTTTAAAGTGGAGTTAATGCCAACTAAACCGATATTCATATACATAATATTATGTTCATTACTCCTATCATTGACTTTAGGACTTTTATGCTCACAACAGAGTTATCTCTCGACTTTCGCACAGAAGTGTGGACTACATCTGACCAAAACATACGCCGCTTATCTCACTACTGGCCTATCAGTGGCGCAGGCTGTCAGTCGGCTCATAGCCACACCATTATCTAAATATATAAGTCCTCAAATAATCATAATATTTGGACTCACATTGGTATTGATTTCTAATATTTTACTCTGGATATTTTCCAATTATTCGCTACCAGTGATGTGGGTGGCAAACATATTGTATGGGTTTGGGATTGGACCATTCTATGCTTCTTGTTATCATTTAATTGAACAGATCACCCCGGTCACCACCACGATGGGCGTTTTTCTATCATTGACGACGGGTATCATTCAAATCATAATTCCGTGTATATTAGGAGTACTCATGGAATCCAATCCATTTGCACTCATTTATCTAAATCTGATTGTAGTATTTTTCTCATTTATAGTAATTCTACTCATATTTATATTAAACACACGTTCAATAGTCATTCCTATGGCCAATGAATTTCGGGCCAAAAATATTTATATTATTCAAAATCATATATAAGGTGTCATAAGATTTGTTTTATAGTGAATTGTATGCAAGAATCAGTACATAAACCAAAACAGGTTTTGTGTAAAAAATTAATACTGATACTAAATTATTAATACTAATTAATACTAAATTAATAAAAATTAATATTAATATAAATTAAATTGATAAAAGCTAGGGTTCATAGGTTGAACATTGATTAAAAATATAACATGAACATTTATCTCTACTTTCATATAAAACCTGTTGAATGCATTAGTTTGATACCGAAATTCATTGGCAATAGTCATTCCTATGAATCAATATAACTGATTAACGTTAGTTCAAAATGAAAGTAGATTTCATACGTTATGGTCAAATATTTAAAAACACATTGTACCATTATTTGAATAAAAGATCATTTGTTTAAAAAGTATTTATTATCATAAAAATTAATACCGTATTTATTTTACTGTAAACTTCTTGTGTAAGTAACTTTATTCAAAGTAAAAAAATTTATTTATTTTTGAAATTAAATTTTATTGTTATTGATGTTACAAAAGTTAGAAAGTGTTTACAACCGATTGCATATTTGACCCTGATAAAATAAAATTTCTAAATAATGCTAATTTTATTAAGATTTTCTATCTTATTCATTTGATTACTTATTTGTTAAAATCTGTCCACCAATTATTGAATTATTAAATAATGTATTAACTAAAAATACATTTTTGATGAATTTAATTTGGATTGTTCATTTATAACTTAGTTATAAGTTTAATATGAAACTCATAGTGACTTTGCCTTTTCTAATAATTAATTAACTAATTTGGTTTAAGCTTAGAGTACAGGTATAATATACTAATAATAATTGTATTTATTGAATATAGTTTATTAAATTTAAGAAGTTCTCTTAAATAATACAAAATAAGCAATATATCATAAAAACAAATTAATTTCTTTGTCAAACAAATTATATTTAGTAATACATCTGATATTAGGCAAATCATTGAACAGTTTTGAGGCATAAATAAAAAATGATTAATCGCATTTAGTTTTATGTGACAAATGTTTTTAGTTTTTAGTTTTATTTTACAAATTCATTGATTTGTTACAATTTAATAAAATTCTTTAACTAGTCTGCTTTGAAAATAGCAAAATTAACTTGATCACAACGATAATTGCATATTTGACCCTGATAAAATAAAATTTCTAAATAATGCTAATTTTATTAAGATTTTCTATCTTATTCATTTGATTACTTATTTGTTAAAATCTGTCCACCAATTATTGAATTATTAAATAATGTATTAACTAAAAAATCATTTTTGATGAATTTAATTTGTATTTTTCATTTATAACTTATAAGTCTAATATGAAACTCATAGTGACTTTGCTTTTCTAATAATTAATTAACTAATTTGGTTTAAGCTTAGAGTAAAGGTATAAAATACTAATAATAATTGTATTTATTGAATATAGTTTATTAAATTTAAGAAGTTCTCTTAAATAATACAAAATAAGCAATATATCATAAAAACAAATTATATTTAGTAATACATCTGATATTTTCAGGCAAATCATTGAACAGTTTTGAGGCATAAATAAAAAATGATTTATCGCATATAGTTTTATGTGACAAATGTTTTTAGTTTTTAGTTTTATTTTACAAATTCATTGATTTGTTACAATTTAATAAAATTCTTTAACTAGTCTGCTTTGAAAATAGCAAAATTAACTTGATCACAACGATGGACACAAACAACAATTTACCATTGATTTCAACTACTTATAAATATGTGCTAACACTTTCTTTGTACGTCAGCTACTTCATTTACGTATGCATAAATTGACCATTTTCATTTTTAAGACAGTTTTACTGTATTAATTGGTCATATTTCAGGAATTGGCCAGTTATACCAGGGGGCCGGCACTAACAGATGTGGTTATTATATATAAGACAAATCTAGCTATGGTTTCGGACACCACTGCCGTCTTATACGTCTGCTATACATTTGCCTCATTATGTATGAACTGATCTCACGATTTAATTTTTAATTATATAATTCATGTTTTGTATAATCTATGTACTTTTCATTGTGTTTAGTTTTATTAGCATCGGAGTTTATAAATAAGCAAATCGGTTGCATGTGTTGCTTGATAATCGTGGGAATCACATTTGCATTGTATGCAAGTGTCCGTACAATTGGTCTCTTATTCCTAATCAGCGCCATCCGAGGGTTTGGTCAGGGAGTGTTTGAAGTCTTGTTAAATGTGTGGATTGTCGAGATGTGGGAACAGGATTGTGGACCTTATATACAAGGAGTCCATTTCGTGTCAAGCATCTCAGCTATTACTGGACCCCTAATGGTCGCCCCGTATCTCAATAATGTGTCCAAACTTTACATCCCGTTCACAATCATTGGAATATTCATAGCAATCAGTGGATTATATTTGGGAAGTCTATACTTCTATAAGAAATACACGCCAAGAGTTGTTAATAAGGATAATAAAGACAGTAGAAATGCAATTCAAATCTTAATAAATACTTTTAAAGCAGAATTATTGCCAACTAACAGAATATTCATATCCATAATAATGTGTGCATTGCTACAATCTTTAACATATGGACTGCTAAACTCTCAGCAAGGTTATCTGTCCACATTCGCACAGACGTGTGGACTACATCTGACCAAAACATACGCCGCTTATCTCACTACTGGCCTATCAGTGGCGCAGGCTGTCAGCCGGCTCATAGCCATACCATTATCTAAATATATAAATCCCCTTTTCAATATGTTTTGTGGACTCATTTTAATACTAATTTCTGAGATTTTATTCGTTATATTTTCTAATTACTCGCTACCAGTGATGTGGGCGGCAAACATACTGTATGGGTTAGGCGTCGGACCCCTCCATGCCTCCAGTTATCATTTAATCGAAGACATCACCCCGGTCACTGCCACGATGGGAGTTTTTATCTCATTCATGGTGGGTATTATCGAGATAATAGTTCCCGTCATTTTGGGAGCACTTATGGAGTCCAATCCATTTGCACTCATTTATCTAAATTTCATTTTACTATTTTTCTCATTTATAGTCATTTTAATCATTTATTTGTTAACTAAAAATCACATGACCATTCAAATTAATAAATCTAAAATTATAACACCTCTAGATCATTTATCTACTATTGACTAATAAAATAATACAATTAAAATTGTTGAATATTTTAATTTAATAAGCATACATTTATTTGTTAAGACATACAGTAACAAAAAATGGATAACTTTTATAACCTCTTTGGAAGTACTTATGATTCTTTAAACTCGAAAGTACTGTATAATTGTTCCTGATTCTCATGTTTATTAATACAAATACTTTTCCATTTGTATTTGCATTTCTAGTTATACAGATTTGGACAGTCATTTGAATTTAGAAACATTAAAATTCATTTATTACAACATTTGAAAAACAATTTACAAAATGATTTAGTAATCAATTAATTCATTGGCACATAAATGGCATTCATTTTCAATTAGTGTTCATTAGATTCACATTTTACCAAAAAGTATTGATTCACAACTCATCGTCACTCAACACAATTTCATCGCACGTTTTATTCCGATATAACCACTCAATGGTCTCTTTATATGTCTTACTATCACTCTGAGGAACAGCTGCCTTCAGATTACGCCAAATCCGAAGCAATCGGTTAAACGTAACGATTCTGTGGACCAATAGATTCACATTAAAACTCATCCAAAACCTCAACAACTCATTCAACAAATACTTCGCAAACTTCTCTTTAAGGAAATCCCAATCGATGTGCTCTTCGGTGTCATAATGGCTGTCATATAAGTTGGTGACGAGTCTGGAGGTGTCGTACGTGTGGTGCCAACAGTCCTCCCCCGACACCATTCCCGCGTCAATCAACTTATTTCTAATGCACGCGAAGTAATGGCGGCGACACTTGGCCTCCGGTCTGTGCATGCGGTCCACCACTAGTTCCCAATCGATATCAACGCTGATGTCTTCGCTTAAGTACTCTTCGCGTGGGAACTGACTCTTGAGGCACGCGATGAACCGCTGGTTCTCCTCATCGGACCACTTGTCCAGACGTCGGTCGCGCCGACGCTCCTCGATTTGGTCCAATTGTCGCAGCACTTCGTCCACTCGTGAGCCCATTGTCTCACACGTGCTCTTCGGGTGGTGCGAGCTATGGATCAAACAAATCACTCAAATGTCATACGAAATGAAAACACATAAAAAAGTGCGAAATTCAACGCAAACTGTGTTTACGTTTTGCACACTATTTGAGGGACTATTCACTCATTGAATACACGAAACACATGACAAACGCATTCAAACACAGCGCCAACCAATGGGTGGTAACCAATGGCAACACGCGTTAGGCTTTGGGTTTGGGTTTTATTTACCAAACAATCGCTCAGTTGTCATAAGAAGTTGAAGACACCGCGGATCACACCATCAGTTTGTCGCGCATTATAAGCCAATCCTAACCCCAAGAGTCACTCGCGAGGACACCTCCGATGTCACGATCGGCGCGACTAGAAGTGGGACAACGGGTTGAGTACAACTCGGGCTCCAAGAAACTGTTGGGACGTCTGGCGTACGGACCAAATGGTTTCCACGTGAAGCCCAATGAGCACGACTGGTGTGGTGTCGTATTGGATCAGCCGGAGGGCAAGAACAACGGCACCATTCAGGGCAGACAGTACTTCCAGTGCAAAGACAACTACGGCATCTTCGTGAGGGCCAACTGTCTGAAGGCCGTCCACGAGTCGCGCATACCGTCCAATAGATCCCAGTCGTCGACGCCCGGTATGTATGGCACGCGTGTGTCGTCCCCATAGACTCGCATCTTATGACGCGATTGTCTCCCAATAGCGACGACACCGAAGTCGATGACGCCGTCGACGAGTCAGACGTCGATCGCCGGTCTGTCGGCGGAGTCGACGCCCGAGAAGAGGGAAGACGTGAAACAAATGGTCGAACGCTTTAAGACGAAGCAAGAGATTAATGTCACCGAAAATATTGAGCAAAATTTGGTCCATAAAAGGACGGAAGCGTTGGGTTCGCCGGAAGTGTCGCACAATATAGAGATGGAGGCGCTGAGAGAGAAAGTGAAGGATTTGGAGTCAAAGTTAGACACAATTCGTGTGCGAAGAGCTCAGGACAAGGAGAAGCTGAAGGACTACGAGAGAGTGCGGATACAGAGCGAGCAGTTGCACGAAAACAAGCGACAGATGAGTGAAAAGATCGCCGAACTCTCGAAACTGAAGGCTTTGGCCGAAAAGGAGGCCAAAGAGGCGCGAGAGGAGCAACTGAGACACGCGGAGGAGATGAAGGATTTGGTGGAAACGGCAGAGATTGCGGTCATCGACAAGGAGATGACGGAGAATAAGTTCGAGCAGTGTTTGGCTGAATTGGAACAGACGAAGGAGAGGTTAGAAGAGGTGACACTCGATCTCGAGATCATTAAGAGTGAGATCGAGGAGAAGGGCGCCGATGGGGCCGTCAGTAGCTATCAGTTGAAGCAATTGGAGCAACAGAACGAACGCCTTAAGGACGCGCTGTTGAAGTTGAGGGACATCTCAGCGCAAGACAAGAATGATTTGCAGACATTGCAGAAGGAGTTCGAGAAGAGTCAGTCCGAGGGCTCGGAAGTGCAGAAAATCAAAGACAAATTGAGTGCAGAGGTCCAGGAATACGAGGAACAGATGGCTGACCTGAAAGTTAGTTTGTTTTGACTGTGATTTGATTGAATTATAAACTAATGGTTTGTTTATTTGATTTGAATTTCAGGAACAAATAGACTCCGCGTTGGGATCACAGGAAATGGTGGAAAAGTTGACGGAAACTAATCTAAGACTTGAGGACAAAATGGCTGAAATGCAAGAAGCGCTCGACGATGAAGAGAACATCAGAGACCTAAACAACCAGTTGATTGAGGCTAAGGAGGAACAGGTGATGGAGTTGAGGGAGGAGTTAGATATGGCGCACTCGAAGATCAGTAACCTTAGGCACGAATACTCGGCAATACAGGAGACACTCGCAGACTATGAGAGCACTATTAAGAAGTTTAGGGATTTGGTCTCAACTCTCAGGCAAGAGATACACGAATTGCAAACAAAGTCCGATTCGACGAAAACACAACAAATTGAACAAAAAGTGGAAAACTTTGAGTTCAAGACTAGACTATCGGACAGAAAAGCGTTCACTCGGGCTATAGACATGGAGTTGCGGCACCTGGAGGTGGACCAGTGCCAAAAACACATTGCCTTCCTATCGAAGTTCATGCCCGACATGTTCTTCAATCGCGGCGGAGATCACGACGCCATACAAGTCCTCCTATTTTTGCCCCGAATTATCAAAAAGTGTGAAATCATTGAGAGACAAGTGTTGGATAAATATCAGTCACTCGACATCAAAGAGATTACTAAACAGAGTATAATTGAATCGCATGACAGCGTTAGGCAACAAGTGTTTACCCGACAGCTCTTGTATAACCTGTTGTCCATTCAGTCAGTTTTGGGTAATTATACGGAATCGTTGAAGACTAGTGATAGTGAACTGTTCCTCAAAGTGGGCGCACTCTTCCCTGAACTGGTAGTCCACGAGAGGACTATTGACCACTACATGGATTTACTCAAAAACGACAAATTGGATGAGACGGTAGTGATTGAGTCGCTGGAGAAGTCGTTGCATTATTTCCAATCCCTTTATAACATCCATTTGGCCGACAGAAGGGCTTACGATCACAACAAACTCGTCACTGATTTTGTCACTATTATGAAGAGCGCTTCCGATGCCATTCATCTGGACTTAACTATTATTGATGGCGTTTGCAGTGAATGTGATATTTTGAAGACAGTGTCCACTTGTGTGGAAGACATCGATCAGTTCTGTAAGAAAATCAAACGAAGGCTTTCATCGGAAACAAAGTTATCGCTCGAGTCGTCCATCGAGAACGAGATCTTTGACTGCATTGCAATCGTCGGGCGAGTTATTAATGCGCTGAAAGTGATCAGAATTAATGTCATGAGTCTTAAGAAGGAATGCGATTCAAAGAAGTTGGAAGCGTTGGCCAAAGATGTGGGCGGAATCAAGTTCGTCAACGATTGCCTTCAGTCGGTTATGACTATTTGCTGCCAATTCTCCACTGCTTTGCAACAGGGTATCAGTGCTTGCATTCACTTACTGTACTATATATACATTCAATTTTAGTTAAATTAATTTCAATTAAATTATAGGCGATTACGACGAGACGAAAGCTCCCGAACCCCGGGATACTCAGAGCGCTATTGATTTGAGAGCACAGGTATGGAAAGCGCAAACAGAAGAGATCAATGAACTGAAAGGTCGACTCGACTCGCGTGAGACTGAGACCAATGAATTGAAACGAGCGCTGAAGTCAAAGATGGAAGAGTTGAGTGAAATGCAAATCAGACGAGATTTGGCCGAAAAGAAGTTATCGAACGCTACGAAAGACGCCGACGAGAGAGTGGTTCGCTTGCAGAACGAGTTGGATGTCTGCCATAAGGAGTTCAAAGAGAAGGAGATCGAGAGGGAGAAGACGTTAAATAAATACAATCAAGAGATCAATGATTTGTATTCGAATCAGAGGATAATGAAAGAGAAACTCAAGGATTACTCGAAATCGGATTTAATCGGAAAGATAATGACTTCGAAGACCAGTACTAACGAGTCGGCGCTTATATCGCAGATCAGAGACTTGAGGTATGCGCTCAAGAAGACAATGGATGACAACTATTATCTGCAGATAAAAATCGCTGAAAGAGACCTAAATCTGAAGCCATTGCCGAAAATGGATAAATGCAAACCTCTTTGGCTGCTGAGAGCACAGGGAAGGGAGGCTGAGATCGATCCCAAACAGGAGAAAATGATTCATTTGATGAAACACGTGAATCAACTGAAGAATGATATCCGGCTTTCGATGATTACGGAATCGGTTTGGGATTTCAAACTTCCCATTAAGGCACAGATTAGGGAACAGGAGTTAAAACGATTGGACTTCATCGCTAGGTATGACAAACTGGAGCGAGAGATCAGAGACTTCATTCAAACCTATGGCGATGGCTTCCAGTCGGGCGCCCACTTCACGTCATTCCCAGCGCCGCACATATCGAAGGTTTCAATTGTATTTCAATTGTATTTTTAGATCAATTATTAATGTTTTACTCCTTTATACCAGTGTTTGAATGAAAAGACAGCAAAATTAGCGGCTGTGCTGTCGGTGCCGTCGAATAAGTCGGATGAGGTGTCTCTGGAAGTCACTTATGAACAGCTGAAAGAATTGCATCGAAAACTACTTTGAGATAACAATTCTGCCCTTTTTATTGTCATATAATCCCAGTTACTGTATAAAACATTTTTGTTTTATTTATAAAAGTTCTAAATAGTATTTATTTATCGGATTTAATTTATTATCTATTTTATTAATAGGTAACAAAATAAATATTACAGATTTTACAGCATTAATGATTAGATGAATTTTATTCTAAATTAAATCATAAGTATATTAAAATTGTTTTCCTTAATTGGCAATCGTTTTCAATGCATGGGTATAAATATTTTTATATTATCATAAATCTAAATAAAATAATACTATTTGATAGCTATTTTAATATTTAATTATCACTAAAATTTGTTAACTTTTTATAACTTTGATTCGCATCAGACATAACCATCTAATTCAGTATTATCGTAAGCCTTAAATTCTAAGGTATTGTTACTACCGGTATATCTTACAATACTATTTACTAAAATACCCTGGTTGTGTCTGATAATAATATCTGAGGCCATAATGAAAGTTAATTTAGCACTTAACTAAATCGATTCCTATTACCGTAAAACATTTGAAGAATATTTGCAATTACTGTATACAAAGCGATTAGAAAAATATGAAATTTTAGTCAAAAATACTCCGGTATTTACGGAATTTAGTCCTGTTTTGGTTTAATGCCATTCTTCTCGGGCTCTAAACAGACGGCAATCATTTGATTGATTAAATCGTGTAATTCTTGCTCTATTTGTGACCAATTCCTGATAATTACATTGAAGTCGTATTAGATATCAATTAAATGTACCCGTATATAATTTTATGCAATTTTATTCACTTGTTTTCTGGCGGTGCGATGGCTTCTGAATAGTATTTAATTTTAGGTTCAGTTCCACTCGTTCTGATGGTCAACACGAAGCCATTCTTGAAATAAAATGTCAACATATATGATGACGAACTGGTGGGCAACACCTGTCACGACAATCACGATTACTAGCATTTATCAACTGTTTCACTGATTTTCTATGTAATTACGGGTTTATTATCAGGTGTTGAGGAATCGTAACCGCGGTTTAGATCCCGAACCCTAGCTATTTCATAGGAACCGATTTTGGACGGATACTAATTCACAGAATAGTATATAATGGAGAATTGATATCAAAGTATATTTTGAAAAATGTATCAATTCTTACAGTTTTGGGTCCATTGAAATTAGCCAACCGATCGAAAATGCTTTTAATCACATCCTTATCGTAACAAATATAATATGAATTTAAACTGAAGTGATAGCCATATGTGGTGTAAATGTAATTCAAATGTTGTGATAAATTGCACTTTCGCTCGCTTTCCAGATATACAGCCAATTGTAAGACATCGAGACCAGCACTGATACCATCCTTGTCGATGACAGTGGTGCCCACCATAAAGCCAATGGCCTCCTCGAAGGCAAACAAAGTAGTTTTTCCCTGTTTACTTAATTCGTCCGCTTTATTGCCCATCCATTTAAAGCCGGTCAGTGTCTCCAACCAATTAAAGCCTTCAATTTTGGCCATCGATTGCAGTATCTTTGAGCTGACAGTGGATGATATCATGTAACAGTCCTGAGCGGGTGCACCGCCTTTCTGTGTCTTATGCTTATACCACTGCCACCAGCCTAACAGCGCTCCGATCTCATTGCCTGAGAATATTCGCCATTTGGACTCTTGGGGCTGGTATTCAGCCACAGCGCACCGGTCACTGTCCGGATCGTTGGCTATCACTATTGTAGACTTGGATGCGGCCGCTGTTTTAAACGACTCGTCCTTTCATAGGAATTATATGTATTTGAAAATCAACCAAAAATTGAGTCTCAGAATAATTACCAAAACTCCTTTGCCTTCCTCTGGATTAGGGAACGTAACGGTCGAGAAGTCGGGATCGGGTTTCATCTGACTCTCAACTGGGAAATAATGCTTAAAACCGCACACTTTGAGCCCTTCAGTCAGGTAGACGTGTCCGACCCCATGGATCGGCGTATAGGTTACTCTCAGAGTGGATTCAGCGATCGCTCTCTTATTGAATATTTTCGACTCAATTATCGAGAAATAATTTTTTGAAATCACTTCTAAAGGATCGCTACATTTGTTGCTATTTCGCGGGTTATTAACCCAAACCCCATCCCATGGCTTCAGGTTTTCCATAATATTCTTCTGGATATTCTTGTCATGTGGTGACGTGATTTGGGCGCCGTTTGAAAAGAACACTTTATATCCGTTATCATCCTTCGGGTTATGAGAGGCCGTCACCATAACTCCTGTTTTGCATAGAATTCAGTTAACAATTCATTCATTGCTAAAACACCTTATAATAGCTGACCCGCAGTTGCAGACAACACTTTGGTAGCGAAGGCCACAAAAGGCGTCGGCACTATAGCCGAGAAGAGATGTACTTTGATTCCGAGGGATAGGAAGGCATTTGCAGACAACTGCGCGAAACGCAACGAATTATGTCTGCCATCAAAACCAATGACAACCCCTTTGTCTTTGGAGGAGTCACCGATTTGGAGCAGATATTTAGCCAAACCCTGAGATGTCTGAATGAGTACTAAATCATTCATAGCTCCAAATCCGGCCATCATTTGACCCCTAATGCCAGCCGTTCCGAACTCTAAGCGGTTCAGCAAAAGTTTGGACAGTTTTTCTGTTTGTTTGCTATCAACCAGTTTCTTGATCTCATCCAATGTTTTCGGATTCTTTGCAAACAAATAAATTTTACTTTTTATAACTTATTGTGTTCTACTACTGTGTGCTTACTGTTAATCTACTAGTAATAATTCGTAAAGTAAATTTTATACTGTATCTGTATTCATTTTTTAAATCATAATTTCTATTGTGATTTTATTTATTTTATTCAATATACAGTAGTTGCTAACAATAATCATTATATTATTTCATCTATTTTTAACATGTACGAGTAAAGTAAAAATATTGAAATAAAATTAAAGTATATCTGTAATTATCACGTATACTGTATTTAAAAGTTACGTTGATCACTTTAGCGCATATGCATGAACTACCGTATTCTGTAAAGTTTTAATCGAATTCCATATAACATTCACAACATGTATAATTCTAGTATATAATACAAGTATAGTATAGAATATAAGTATAGAATTCTAGTATTTCAACTAAAAAACAATTCTTATCATGTTAATCAAATACTTTATAATAATAATCCAATATTAAATCAATACTGTGTGCGACTGTACCCTAAAAACGAGTCACACATTCATATCTGATATTGTTCAACTAAAAAACAATTCTTATCATGTTAATAAAATGCTTTATAATAATAATTCAATATTAAATCAATACTGTGTGCGACTGTACCCTAAAAACGAGTCACTCATTCATATCTGATATTGAATTGTCATCATAAAAGATAAATTCTTATATAATAAGTTATTTAATATAAAAATTACTATAAGTGTCATAAAGCAACAAATTAGCGCCTCATAAATTGCAAAAAGAATGTTATTATACTAAATAAAATTGTTAATCAAATCAAAAATCAATGGAAACTTTAGAAATAAGTTTTATAGACTTGACTACTATTAGGGAATTCTAGTCATATATAGTATTTGTGTGAATATTATTGGATAAGAGCTTTCAAATAAAGTTCAACTAATTATACGCTATGTCTTACACTAATCTTATCGCGAATATTGTACTGTATAACAAATAAAATTAAATTCATATTTCCAATGGACTTCCTTAGCATTGAACTAATAATATAATTGTAAACCAAATAAAAATAGTGACTAACGCTAAATAAATGCAATGGAAATTCAATTACGAGAGAATTATATTTCAAAACGAGTAAATAAGTCTCAATGAGTGTTATATTCATAATTGAATGTAATGTCTTATATGACCATGTAATTTCATTATACGTTACAATACGTTATATGTTATATAATCATCTTATTATAAATTTATTTGTTATTTTAATGGAAATTGTACAAAATCCACAACTACTAATTAAAAACAATAATCTATAGTTAAATGAATATTGTATTATATTCTTGTAAGAAATTCTTGACAATTGAATTGTTATGTAATAAATACATTATGTAACAATTGTTTAATACATTTGACCGACAAATTCATATTAAACAAGTTGTTTAAGTGAAAAATGTGCTTGTATAGAATAGTTTATACTGTATTCCTCACACCCAATTAATGTTTAATGACAATATTGGTATGAGATATTACTTATAATTACAATACTGCATTAGTTACCCGGTTAAGAACATTATTGTAAGAATATATTATTTGATACATAAATTGTCTTACTCAAATAACTTTAGATAATAATATTAGTAACAAAAATGACACAAACCTGATCCCATTGAAGCCATTCCGCGATTCTTTGCTCCAATTCTGGACTAAAATTCTTTGACATAATTGTCTCCCAAATGAGTAAATTTCTCTCAATTACTAAAAGACACTTATATTTAAAAAATATATCAAACTTTATATTTGCACGTATGGTGTGGCAGTCAATGAAAACACTAGACTGTATTCAAATTGACAGTAAGTATCAAACAGAGTATAGTATAATGGGATTGAATATGAGATAAATGAGACAAAACTGTAACAAAACTTGAATTGAACCGTAAATGAGACAAAACACTGAATTTAAATGCAAACACAGAATAATAATGGATTCATACAATACGCTCATGTATTACCTTCACTACATACAGTCAACCCCCGGTTAACAACATAAAAGATCATAAATACATGTAAACGTATTATAAAATACATAATTTAACTTTTAAAACACATAATTAACAAATAATTTTATCAAAAATTATTATAATATGAAGTAAATTATGAATTGACTGCAAGTTTATCGCCAAAACTATACCATAAGCTGAGTGTCAAACGTGAGGTCTTTATGGAAATAGGAGTCGTAATTGACTTTTGGATATAAACTGTGTTTTTGATTGCATTTTCAATGCATTCACTGTTTGCTTACATTTTGTGACAAATTATTGTCATTTAATAGCAATTGAAATACAATTCAATTGACATCTCATCGCAACGATTAGTCTCCGATTTGCGGACCATTTGAATGTAAACTGAAGACAAATACGAGTGCTTTGTATCCCAATGGAGGCGATGGACACGTCCTCGACGGCCAGCGACGAGTTGGTGATCGCGAAGAGGGCTTTGGATTCAAGTCTTGGCGACAACTTTAAGAAGTGAGTGATCCCTACAAATGGTGACCATTTGGGTGTCAATTATCATGTGTTTGATTTGAAGATATCTGCGGGCAATGAGACAATGGTTTACACAACAGTCCACTAAAGAGGAGTTCGACACAGAAGTGCATCACTTCCTGACCCCCGACTCAGTCAAAGCCCACAATCGCTTCCTATTGGCTCTTCTGAACAAATGCTCGCATTTGGAGACACTTGAAGACAATCCAAGCGTTCCGGACGTGAAGCCCATTGTCGCCGATAAGACACCCATCGACACCAAACCCGTGGCCACTACTACGGCCACTGCGAGTGAGTGTTTGCTTAAGACTCTCATTGACACCATTGTTAAGACAATGATTGACACCATTGTTAAGACAATGATTTGCTATGCGTTTGCATTCAATGAATAATATTTACCATCATTTATGACCCAAATGATAGCCGAAGTACCGGTTAAACCGAAACCCAAACCTGTTGTCAAACCATTGAATAAGAAATTGAGAGAAAAGCAAAAGAAAGTGAATTTCGAGAACCGTTTTGACGCCACCTCTGAGATGAACAACGCCTACATCCGTGACATGAGATTCTTCGACGACTCCCAGAAGCTCTCGAAAGTGAGTTACTGTCAGAGAGAGTCACTACTTCCCGACCACTTGTACAGTGTGGAGGCGCACAAACAGTAGACAACCCTTTACCCAAATCTGCCGCAAGTCCTGTTACGGCAGTTTGATACGTTGCGTCGGGAATCCCATACTGTGCAGACTGGTAATAAACAGAAGTAAGTCATACGTCTGACCATTATTTGTCTTCATTATCATTAAAATGTTGTTTATTTGGTGTCAGGATTTCATGAAAACCATATTAACCGAAATGTTTGCCTCGCGTTCATCATATCGTTTGCGTGACAACCGATTTAAATACTTCATCGGCGGTCCGCCAATCAATCCATATCTCAAGAACTCATACTCTTTGCTACAAAGTATA